TATTAAAATTAATTCTAGCGTTATAAATAATAATATTAAGAGATTCGATATATATATCTATTTAGTATAATCTTAATATATCTTATATATAAAAGATAGTTATATTTATTAATTAGCGGGCGATTTAAAAAGAAGTTTCTTTCTTAATAATTTATAGAATTAAACTATTATTAATATAGAGAATATTAAAAATAATTATATAGTTAAAATAGATATTATCTCTATTCTTAAATAAGAATTTAAAATAATCTAGAGATCGAGAGTACTTTTAATAGAATATATAGAACTCGATAATTTATTTAAGTATATAATAATATTTAAAGTCGTTATAGCTAGCTTTCTCTAGAGTTCGAATAAGTCTATTAATTAAGAAATAATCGAATTAATAATATAATTAATATAACTCGATATCGATTAGATAATTAACTAATATAAGACTCTATATTAAGAATAAATATTTATAAAAGCGAATAATTAAAACTATAAAATTATTTCTTAAAATAACTTAATTCTTAAGATTATTTAGATAGATTTCTAATTTATCTATATCTTAAATATATAGTAAAAATAAAATATTAATCTATATTATATAAAAATTAACTCGACTAATAGACAATTCTATTATAAGTTTTCTAATTAATAATAATATTTTAATCTTAAGTTAGATAATAATATTATTAATAATAATATTTAATTATATATTAAATTCTCTTATATAGATTAGTAATTAATTATATTTAATAGTAAATATATATATAACTTTAATATCTAGTATAATATTATAGAATTACTTTAAAATATATTAACTAATATTAAGAAAGTTATTAAACTTAATAATATTATAATATATAAAATAACTAGAAAGCTTTAAGTAATATACTTAAATTTAATTTAATATAACTATAAAAGTAGTCGTAATAAAGTTTTCAATTTTCTTTAAGTTAATATCTTAAATATTAAGAGTTAAGATCTTAAGATTCTTAATCTTATTCTTTTAATCTTTAAACTCTTAAATATAAAAGTTATATCGCTTATTAATAAAGTCGATAAACCGCTTAATAAACTTATTTCGAGATTATTAGTATTCTTTATTAATATAATTAATTAACTAGTAACCTATCTTTCTATAAATAAAATATCGCTTTTTCTAGAAGCTATTTATCTGCGAGAATAATCTACTATAATTACTTTAATTTAAAGATCGATTAATATAATACTTTCGATTAATAAAGTATATTATAAATCTAAATAACTTAAATCTCTTAATCTTTATAATCTCTTTATAATTCTCGATTATAATATAGATATTATTAATTAGCTTTATAATTATAGTTATCTATTATAGAATTATAATATTATATATAAAGATATTACTATAAGAGATAACTATCTTATTTCGAAGTACTATATCTAATTAAAATTTATAATCTAACTCTCTTTAAATTTAATAAAATTATTAAATCATCTTATTAAAGATAATTTCTTTATTCTTTTTAGAATTAACTTAGAGTAAGTCTCTTATATTACTCGTAGTATTCAGAAGTAAGTAACCTCGCTTAGTAGCGCCGGCTATATTCACTAATTAGACTATTAGATTTCTCCGTAATATTATACTAGTCTTTATCTATAGATATAGAAGAGATAAGCTATTATTCTTTAATAATGGCTTTAAATACTATATTTATATGTGAGTAAGCTTTTTATTAGTCTTCTTACATATGACTAACTATGTAAAGACTCTAAATAACTTCTCTATCAGCTACCGTCGCCCTTAAATGGACGATATTATTATATTCGCTCTCCGGTAGATAGATACCTTCTAAACCCCTCTTACCGATATTACTATACTTAATAATACGATATTTCTAGACTAGATAAATCGTAGATAAGAGAAGGATATGCTGGAACGTCGTCTGGAGTATAAGACTGAGACTATGATTGAACGTGTTATAAGAGTAGAGAATTTGAAGTAAAATAAGACTAATAATAGATATACTAGAGGAAATATATCTATCCTCTAAACTTATTGCTATCTTTTAGATTATGGCAGAGCTGTAATTTGGCTCGCTAATGGCCTATAACTAGCTCGTTCCGCTTCCGATTTTTAGCGGAGTTCTATTTTTATTCTAGTTTCTCTCTAGCTTTCTCTTTAAAAGCCTTATTAGCTCCCTTAAATTTTCGCTAGCGAGACTATAAATTATTCTTTATAGGGTCTTATAATAACTTGATCTAATGCAAATTAGGTGAATTTGATGTCTATTCGACCTTGTTAATGCTACGTTATTTCCGTTCTTCTTTATAGAGCTTAGCTACTTTGGTATACGCTGGGGTATTATTCTTAATTATTCATATAATCTTATTAGAATTTCGAACTATAACTTCCTCGACGTATTTATATAGACGGGTTAATAGAATGTAATCTCGATACTACTCGATATTAATGTTATGGCCTTTAAAGATTAAAAGAGATATATACTTAAAGACTTACTCTAAAAAACGTTATTTTTTCAGGCCTTTATTATATTTACCTCTATTACTCTCTCGAACCAGCCGATTATAAATTAAAATATTAATTTATCGATTCTCGTTCTATATTTTATTAGTATTTCTTATATAAAAGTTAATATAAAAATATACTTCTATAATAATATACTCTAGAGTTTCGAGGATTTTCTGCGAGATCCCGTTTTTCTATTATATCTTTTTTAAGTTCTTAATTCTTTAATATAATTTCGACCTCTAACTTACGACGTTTAATTACGATACGTATAAGTTAATAGTACTATAAATCGATATCAGGCTCCGTGAAATATAAACTCTAATATATTTATATGAATTATACTAGTATATCGATTATAGCTATCGTTTTAGCTGATTTTCCTTTCTCTATCGAAATACGACGTTATTTATAATTACTATCTTAAATTTTATAATAATATTCGTTACTAGCGATAAAGATGAATCCTTTATCTAACTCGTTAAGAATTTATATATAAAGATTATCTTATTTATATTCCTCGTAGTAATTTAGACGTAGCTTCTTTAACTTAACTTTTCGCTTAATTCTTTTAATAATATAATCGTCGTCGATTTTATATATATATTTAAAAGTAACTCTTATAAGAAGAAATTGAGAGACTAATAATTAAAGTTTATTTTCGTCTTATTTCCATTTTTTATTAGCCCTAGAGATCTCGATATTTTCTTATTAAACGGCCTCTTTACGGAGTAATCTAGGGTGCTTTAGAATAGCCTAACGAACTTGTTTTGAAAGATTTAATTGGTCTTCTATTCGGATAGAGGCTTTAGTTCTATTAAAGTCACCTAAATATGCTAACACATCGTTGAAATCCTCACTCTTAGTTCTATCGATTGCTCTTCGTATAATAAAAGCTACGATACCAGCTTTTACATCTGTTTTTTGTTCGATTTCCTAAAATACTTCGAGATAAAGTAGTTTATAGATAGTTATAGCTATTCTAAGCTAAAGACTAACTTTATTATCGTATAGAGCTATAATATATATATATATAATATAGCTATTATAAGAGTAAATAATTAAATAAATAATCTAACTGCGGGAAAACGGCCGCCAAGACGCTAAATTTTAGCGTAGATTACTTACTTCTAAATACTACGAGTAATATTATTCTACTTATAAAGTATAAGATAATAATATTCTTCTCTCTCGAAATAATTTTAAAATCGATTAAAGAGTTATTAAATAGTAAGGCTAATTTCTTAATAGCTAGAGTAGTAGTATTTTAATATTATAGATTTTAATATAATTAAGAATACTATTAAAAGAATCTATTAAGAAATCTCGGCTTTTAAATAAAGATTTATAAAAATTATAAATTTATAGCTAAGACTCTCGATAGAATTTCTATTATACTTCTTCTCGATAATATATAATTTAATTAGAATAATAAGTTTCTTACTATAATTATAATTTTATTTAATATTAAAGCTCTTAAATAACTTAATAAGATAAGAATAATAGATATAAAACTCGATAATTTAGATCGTAAGCTGGTATTAGAGAGAGAATTAAAATAGAATTCTTCGATTAATAAGGCGGTTACGAGGGGAGAGGAATAGTATTCTTCGATCGATAAGGCTATTATTTCTATATTAATTAAATCGATTATTACTAAGAATAATAATAAGATAATTTTAATAGAGAACGATCTTCGTTATCTAATAGCTATAAAATCTCTTTCTTAATTACATCTACTAATTCTTTAGTTATTAAAAGTTCTCTTTCTTTCTTAATATAGGCTTTATTAATTTATAGATAATCTCGTAGACTAGTAATAACGTTCTTATTAAGAACCTCGAAGTTCTCTTTAACGTATAGAGTAAAGTTATTAGTAAAGACGTCTAAGAGTATTCTAAATTTATATATTTTATATTATTATACCCTTTAACGAACGAATTTCTTAAGCTCCTCTTAATATCTAATAATTTAACTTCTTATAATTTCTCTAATTTACGCTTAATTATAATATCTAATAATATCTCTAAAGAATTAGATTTCTTATCCTTAGAGTTTATTTTAATATATATTATATATTAATATAATATAAAGCTTAATAGTATTTAATATTTTCTAAATATTTTCTCTACTAAATAGAAGTTATAGAAATTATAGAAATTATAATTCTATTTAATCGAATCGTTATAATAAGCGAAATCGATTAAGTAATATAGAATCGTATAAAGTATCGCGGCGATATCGAGATAAACTTTCTTTAGTATATATTCTAGCTAATCTATATATTATTATTAAAATATATTAATTAGTATTAATAATTACTTAATACTATAATTACTTATATAATAAGACTTATTACTAGATATAATATTCTTAATAATATCTAAGAAAGAAGAATATCTATATACAGAGAAGGCCTTCATATATCAATGACTAGGCCGAATGAGTACTAGTGGTAGCGAGTGTTGAGTCGTTCCAACAACAACATAGTGAGCCTGCTGCAATGGCGACGGGAACAGACCCGGCAAAACGACTACGATTCGACCTCTTCACTAAGCATGTCGACAACACACATAGTGAAGCCTGCTACCAAATGGCATTCAACACATTCGATTCTTTCCCTACCTCCCTACCAAACCAACGAAAAGGATGGAACGAAGGATGGATTTTTGATGGCAAGAGCATGGGAGACACAGGGCAAATCTACAGTGATGCTCCCAGGCCAGGCTGCCAACAGGTGTTGGAGGATAACACATGCATGCGTTGGATTTTCTTCAATTCTACCGAAGGAATATGGCAAGAAGACTGGACAAGGAGAAGAACTCGGAGAATCTTGCTGGCACGCAGGCAAGATATGGCCAATATCTCCAGGATCTCTGAAGGACAATGTGGGTATGGCACGCATAGCACAGTCAAGACCAGCATGCGGCCCGGCAAAACCTCGGACATGATGTTTTTGAACGAATTGAAACCATCCGATGTTTTCGACTACTACCACTACACTTCGGCAAAATCCTCTCTGGTCGAGGCCTACACGGACTATGGATGTTTGGAGATACAAGGCAAGCAATGGGCGTGCATCTCCGGTCTACCAGCCATGGGGGCCATGGCTATTGAGAGGGGGGGGTAGTGTTACGAGCGTACCCTTGACACACCACTCAGCCCTATGGCTAGCGGGCCTTGGCGGAGGCATCTCCTACTATATCATGCCTCCTTCCTACATACATAGTTCGGTAGCCTTATTATCCTTGATCTACCTCACCCATACTGGTATCGCACCTATGCTGGTCCTGACACTACTATTCGATTTCTATCAAACAAGCTTACACACTATCTCTAAGCTCTTCTTGCAACGACTCGATACTCTTCACGAGCAACAGCTGCTTTTCCTTCCAGGTGTCTAGTCTCTCCGCAAGGTCACGCAAAAGTAACTTCTCGCGCCCCACTCGGTCAGATCGATCCTTGCCCTCCTCCTCACATGTTTTGACAGCTCTCTCCCACCCTCTTTTCGCCTTCTCGAGCTCGGGTAACTTGGCCTGACAGGTGTTAAGCTTGTGTTGATACTCTTCCAGCTTTGACTGGATCATATCGCGAAGCTCCGCGCTCTGATATCCTATGTCACATTCGTTATAAGTAGTGAGCGTGTTGTGATGGGCACGCACGGTCTTCTCGAGGGCTTTGGTTTCTATCAAGGAGGTTTCGTATACATCCGTCATTCGTTTGAGCAGTTCCCTTAGGACATGCAAGACTTCATCTGAAAGGGTTAGGCGGTCTTGCGTATTGCGTAAGCGCTCACGCATCAGCGAGATAGCTGCACACAAAGAATCTTTGAAAGCTAGAGAGTTAATTATGTCTTCTTGAACGATTTCCTTCGCAGTCACTACTTCAGGTGCCTGACCTGCCTTGCGCGTGACGGGGGGTATCTTCAAATCGATCTCGGCAAGCTTCTCAAGTCGGTGACTATTCGTGCTGTCGTCGTCAAGTAGGGAATCCAGAACTCCGCGCCAGAGGTCGGGGTCGATGCATGGCGGCATAGGAGTTTTAAGCATGGTGTGGAAGGCATTCACAATGATGTAAATGCCACAGTCGTGTAAATTGTTTTGAGCCGAACAATCTACTGTATTGAATTTCCACTCGATGCTGGTAGCTTCAGACGAAGCTTCGGACATTTGAGAATTCAGACTTGCTAGGAGTTTGTCGATTGCTTGTCGAGCCTTCGATTCGTAGGCTGGATTCGGTAATGAATTCCAGAAATACGAAGTACTGGCAAGGATATCGATTGTGATCAACGTCCAATGCCTCTTCTGGAGCAGCAATGGCAAAATCCACCAAGAATCCTCGCCAACTCCTCGACGCAAACGGGCTACGGTGTTAGCGGACAAGAAGGCAGGATCAAAAACTCGAATGCCATTGAACTGGCATCGATCAAGCACGGACTGAATAGCGGTAGTAGACAGCCATGTTCCAGGCCTGAAGCTACGCCTCGCACCTTGGAGATCGTTGCTTGGTATTTGGCGTCCTGAACAAGGGGCGCTTTCCTTATCTTTTGTAGTTGAAGCTTGGCAACCTGGGTCATCTACTTGAGCTGGCGCACCTGCTTGAGCCGATTCGTTTGCTTGAATTGGTTCGTCTGCTGGAGCTTGTTTGGGGTTGTGGATGGAACTATCAATGACGTTATCGATGCCGTTAAAACTCCCCTTATTGACTCCGCTGCCCATGAGACTGTGACTGCCATCATCGCTCTTAATGCCGCTGTCCCTCCTGCTGTGGATAGTGTCCCTGGCATCTCCGTTGTCGCTACCGTTATCGATGCTATGTTGAATGCCGTCGCTCGCATTAATGTCACTGGTGCCAGGGTTATTACCATTGTCAATGCAACTGTTCATACCGCCAGGTAGAGCATTCCTGCTATCATCGACGTCTTTGTTTCGCTCGTCCTTGTTAATGGCTTTGCGAGGTTCGCTAGCATCTCCATTATTGCCCCCATATCCATCAATAGCATCGCTCATTTTGGCATTTGATCCCCCAGGTGAGAGTAGATCATCTAGGTGCCCTGCCTTGAGCTCAGGCGACATTGCCGATGGGCTGGAAGGTAGTATGATAGGGGAGTCGCAGTCTGCCATAGCCGGTTCCCCATCATGGCGCATCACTTCTGGGCTCATAGCACGGTCAAGGTTGAGTTCAGCTTCGGTTGTTTTTTGAAGCTTGAGTTTTCTACGCCTGAGTCCGGTGAAGGAATTCAACTTGGCGGGATCTGGACGTTTATCAGCATCTTGGATGAGATGAGCGTGAAGAGAGATCTTACAGGGAGGTAGAACAACGCGAGGAGTGGGTCCCTTGGATACCCTCTCCTTGAGGGCTGCTGGCAATGTCGTGAAAGTGTCCTTTGCATCGAAAGCTGACCGTGTGGGTGCGTTTCCCTCTTCTTTTGAGGTGGTGAGCTCCACATTAGCTTCGCCCAACTCACTCGCATCCTGGTCTTCACTCTTGATCGATGTCGATGAAGTGGGATTAGGTCTTTGAGGGCTCTGAGCTTGAGAAAGCCCATTGGCGAGCTTCCTGCGCTTGCTAATAGGTTCGATGTCGGCTGTCATGGATTGTGAGTCTACGGGAGGAGATGAGGGAGCGGTGCTATGACGACGGCGCGTAGGCGTGGAGAAGCTACGCGAAGAAGAGGTGGATCCAAAGTTGGACGGCAGTGAGTGTACGCTGTGATTGTCACTGAGGTCCTCTGCTTCGCCAAATTGCACAGGTTTGAAGACGATAGGGGATTCAGGCTGCGGTGAGTCTTTTCGTAGATCACCTGGCATGGCCTTCGTAACCTGTGCCTCGCGCTTGTTGTGGATTCTGCTTTTGCTAGCGGTGATGGCGTTCTGGACATCCACTGTCATGAGGGTGGCGACTTTGGAGACACCAGAGGCCTTGGTGGTCCTTCGCTTGGTAATCTGCATGAGCAACATAGCCTTTGCATCCTCTTTGCTGTCACCAAGTCGACATAGCTTAGCCAACTCGGTAGCCAGTCGAACCGAGCACTTTTGGTTCTTCTCACATACGTTCCATCCTCCCCATCGCTCGCCAAGCAAAGCATTAGCGTTTTGATTGATACTGACACGTTGAGCTTGCGCTCTGAGAATGCAAGCTCGAACCTCCCCTTCCCGACCTGCTACGACCTGCTCAGCGACATTGAGTCGTACAGCAGTACCGAGCGTGCATAGCACCATGACATCGTTCTTCGCTACGCGGGTAGCACATTTCTTGAGAAGGCCAGCCAGGACTAATGTTGGTGAAAGAGGTCCACTCTGCGCAAGGCATTTCAAGATTGTGGCGTTGGCTTCAGCTTGGCTGTTGTAATAGAAGTCCTCTTCGTCAGCAAGCAGTTGAGACCAGTCGTAGGCTATCCCTTCAGCTTCCTTAGTTAGCGCCATGGCAAACTCTATACGAGTTCCTTTCAGGTAGAAGGTAATGAATAATGAGGCCAAGATTATATGAGGTGTTGCACTTGGGAAATTAGGATTTTCCCAAGTGCCTTGGCAACAAGGTAACACCCTTTACTCCAAACGGTAGTTTTTACCGGTAGAGTACTGATTAGCCGAGGCTCCAAGATAGCCAGCCCCATTGCCCTAACCCTAAGTGTATCGGCGGACCTTCCTTTTTGGGTCGATTTGGACAGAATACTCAGTTCAAATCATAGCCCGAGGGTCGGATAAGGGTCGAGGATAAAAGTCTCCGCCATCACCGCTACAACTACAAACTACAAACTACAAACTACCTAGACATCAGCCTCATCCCTCCTTTCCCCAACACCATTTCGACAATGGCCCGGCCCTCTAAAGTTCAAGCTCGGGCTCGCTAAGAGGTTGGGGTACTTATCAAGACGCTCAACGATCGAAAAGTAACGCCTACAATGGAAAAGGTCATTGTAGGTCAAGCGCACCAACTCCTATGCGTTGACTTTGGCTGATGCAAAGACTGGCATTTGGTGGAGCATTTCTGCCTGCAGTACTTATACACTGGAGCTCAATCACACATTGATCGCCGCCGTCAAGTCGTACTCAAAGCCGGGCGCAAGGCAGCCGAATCCAAGGCAGACCAAAGACCTAGTCGACTACGGAAGAATTCCCGAAGACGTCCCCGAAGACTTAGTCCACTGCATAAGCCAGATGAGCAGGAAGATGGCGATCAAAATGAAGAACGAGGTGCCGATCAAGATGAGGACCAGGACATCGAGCAAGATGAGGAGGAGGGTGGTGACCAAGATGAGGAACAAGGTGCCGAGCAAGATGAGGACCAGGACATCGAGCAAGATGAGGACCAGGACATCGAGCAAGATAAGGAGGAGGGTGGTGACCAAGATGAGGAACAAGGTGCCGATCAAGATGAGGACCAGGACATCGAGTAAGATAAGGAGGAGGGTGGTGACCAAGATGAGAGATAGAGTATTGAGCTACAACGTCATGGGCAAGATGAGATAGAAGATGTAGAACAAACGCGACGCAGAAGGTGGTGAGCAAGAGCGGGGACAGGGTGGTAAGGAAGATGGGGTACAAGGTGGTGAGCAAGATAAGGAAGAAGGTGATAACCAGGATGAGAAAGAAGGCAGTGATGAAAATGAAGGAGTCAACGATCAGACTGAAGATCCTCCATCACCGGATTCTTCATTACCTCCCCATTCATCGCCCTCCCTACCCCAGAATTCCGATAAGGACGAAGGATTGGCAGCCGTCGTTCGAACGGCGCCAACGGACCAGCGTAGACGGGCAAGTACTACAACATGTCCCTTGGAATATCCGCGAGAACTCCTCGGTCGTATGACTATGGAGCTCCGCCTCAGTGAAAGCACTAACGAGCCCTACTCTTGGAGAGACTGTAAACGAGCTACTCTTGGACAGAGCAGTTTGGATCGCATATGAGAAGGCTCGCGAGAAGAAGTCAAAGAAACCCAGGGACAAGGGAAAGCCACTCGCCAACAGCATAGAGGAACTCATTCTCCTGATCAGTTCTCTCTTCACGCCTGATATCTACTTGGAGCTCAAGGCTAGCATTCACATACTAAGGCGTACGGGTGTCGCGAATCTCGCTCGAGATAGGCGTAACGAATCGGCACAGGGCTATAGCCTGGCAGGTATGGCTCCTGATGGCGAACTACCCAATACTATAAGGGCGCTTCAGCAGCGGTGGGACCATGCACGTCATCTCACAAGCTTAGGAGATAGTTGCTGGCATAAGGTCGATCTTACGCTAATCAGATTGGAGCTCTATAATTACTGGAATCAAGCTCTCAAAATATACACTTCTACTTTCGACGATGACGTGTCTGTAAAGGATCGAAGATATATGGAACGGTTCGTCGATCGCGCTTTACCAGGACCGGGACGTCGTGGGAAGCGTGGTGGGAAACGCGCCGATAAACTAAAGCGTGCTCTTAGTCCGTACTTGGGTAGTTACGGAGAAGAAAGCAAAGACCATGTGGGACTATGCGATCAGGGTCGGAAGTCACGTTGCGGTATTCAACCAACTTTGGGGTTTGCCTCCTCTAATTAAACCGTCCAAGTACGTCTACCCAGCCCTCAAGTAGCTTCCCCAACGTTTTGAACCTGACCATATACAAACATCCCCTTAGGCTTCTCAACATTGGACTTCCCCTTCTCGAATTCGCCATACCCTTCTTGCTAGAACGACATCCCTCTCTCATTCATATTCAAAATGTCATTCATAAAGACTATGTCTCACTACTGAGAAATGGCATTTCCCTAAATCCGAGGGCCTTACGCTTTGCCACAACGGCCCCCAAGGATGCTTTGGCATTCGGTAACGCCTGCGATGAGAATCTTATAGGCCTGATTGGCCTTTTTGGATATTGTTCTCTCGAGGAAGCTAAGATCGAGCTATCACCTGAATAGCAACCGGCGCCGCCAACTCGACCACCTCAGCCTCAGCCTCAGCCAAGCACGCCTGGTCGAGGTTCTGGTCCTTTGACACCGCCTCCGACTGAGAGCCAGCATCGCGCAACTTCCGCTGTCACAATCAAGACCCTCCCTGATAATCGTTCTTGGAGCGAAGGTCAAGACGAAGCCATTGACGAAGATTCCTTTCGTGGTGGAGAAAGACTATTTGAGCGTGATGATGATGGCGATGGCGATGGCGATGGCGATGGCGATGGCGATGGCGATGGCTTGATTCCTCGACGATCAGCTTATCCCGTTTACAGCAGGCTGATTACCCAATGACTCAAGCAAAAGGAAAAGGAAAAGCAAGAGCACGATCGCACTCACAAAGGAACGAGTGTCCTACTCCTCACAACGATGCGAATTCCGGCACTTCTAAACGAAAGCGTCCGAATTAATCCTTAACCCTAAGGCGCTAGGGGGTGCGGCACATGCAGCGCTTGAAATCGCCCCGCCCCGCCCCGCCCCGCCCAGCCATAGGCCTTAGACTGGGGCGAGGGCGAACTCGAGAGAGAGAGGGCTAGGGCGGGGCGGGGCTATAGGGAGGTTTAGACGAGGGCTGAGATGCTGAATTCCAACAGTGATAAACTGGAAATCGGCGAGACGTGGCGCTCCCGTTACAATAGATGGCTCCATCAGCGAGGGCAAACTCCCAAGACCGCAGAGCATAGGGAGAGTGCTGGAGTGTGGAGAAGATGTCGCCTTCGTAACGTGCTCCACGATTGTTGAGGATAGGAGTTTCGAGAAACTCCAGCGATCCTATACGGGAGGAAGGCAAAGAAGGCTTTATGTCTCGCTTCCGGCGCGCCATAAATTACGTTTGAGGTAACGATAATCCCTCGAACGCCGGGGTAGTGAGTGTCGAAATGTAGAGATTCAGGGATGTGACGACATGTGTGTTTGCCTACATGCAGCCCGTATGTTGAGAACGTCCTCTTTCCGCTAGGCCAGAACGATTAATAACAGGCCTTTCTGACCAGATATTTATGCAACGTTCCAGTTTCTTTGATCACAGTAAGACAATCTGCAGGATGCCGATTTCACCATACCTTTTTCGTGCAATCGGCTATGCGTATTTCCTATTTCATTGTCCACAGCAAGCAGGATGGCGATGTTATGATATCGTTTTCTGGATACAAATATCATCCTCTGGTCCATCTCCCTGAAATACAGCATCTCGTAGCATCAAGCTCGCATTTTCCCTACGCACCAGCTTCAGCATCTGTCAGGCAAACATTCTTACAAGCCCGTCTACCCTGAATTCAGAAACGATCCCCAATACCTTCAGTTCACCATGTCCTCCGAAACCTTTGTCAACTTCGTGATGCTGCTCATTCCCGCTGGCGCCGCTGGCGCCGCTGGTGCCGCTGCATTAAGATGGGTACTCCTCACTTTCGGCCCTGCAGCCATGATCAAAGCGGCCAAGGAAGCGGGCTCCTATGTCGTTGTGACGGTGATTGCGGGCCTACAGAAAATCGCGCGTCCAGAGACCTTTCATTATGCCTGGGCCATCGTTACCGAAGCCCTTGAGCAAATCCAGAGCCTCATCCATACCATCCGTTCGCTACCTTGGAACGACTATGTCAGCATGGCCAAGCACGGTCTGGCATCACTGGGTCTTCTCTCATCGATCTTCAAGGATATCATCAGCAAAGCGATCAGCCCAGAAGCGGGCACATGTGCTCAGCTACTCCTATACGGTATGCTAGCGATGCTCGTCGGCAACGTCCTGTTCATGTTCTATCAAAAGGTCTGTTTCGCTTGGAATATCGTCTATTTTATTCTCTCTCGGATTCTTCGTCTCCTCTGGGCCATCATCCTCGGTATCCTTTGGCCCGTACGTTTCCTCCTATCCATCTTCCGCCACTGAGGCCTTCGATCAGATCAGCCCTTCGCTTATGGCACTTTCGCAAATACCTCTGCCAACTCTGAAGGAGTAGTCATAAGACTTGGAAAGGATTGATGGACGGGATATGCGAGCTGCTCTGTGAAGGACTTACGGAAGGAGCAAGGTGGACTGATAGGGATTGATCGCGGTGGATTGTGGGAACTGTTTTCTTTGGCCAAGAAGGATATAATGCAGAATCTTAACCTTCTCGACGCTCGTTTCGCGGTAATGAGGCATATGTATACAATACCAAAAACATTATTCTTTCGCTCGATGCCTTTCTATTCCTGAACTGCGCGTGCATGCCCCTCCCTTCATCCCTTTACGGCGCCCTCTTCCTTCTTCCTTCGCTTCCTACTTGCTCCCGCTGGTATAATGTCTTCCTTGTCCTCATCTTCACTGGTTCGTAGATCATTCATCTCCGTCCCAACGGCCCCATCCATCTCCCTCATACACCCAGGTCGTGCTGCCGACCACTTCTGGATCTCCGCCCTCTCCGTCTTGCTGAGATTGCCTTGGTAGTAGAGTAGAAGGCCCGCACGGTACATTTCGGCTTCGTGAAAAACTTCCTTTTCGGCGCGATAGAGAGGGTCATCGAACTTTGACGGCGTCGTCTTCTCCATGTTTTTTTGCTCTGCCCGTAGGTGTGCGGTGTGATCCATAACAGACTGCTTGGTTTCGTTCTCGAGTTTGGAAGATAGCTCGCCGCGAAACTCCGGAATAAGGAGCCTAGCAACCGCAAAAGATTCCTTTTCCAGTAGTACATCGATAAACGCATTGATGACTTCCAGCGTTGGAGAGGGGTTGTCGTCGAGATGTAGCCAGAAGGTTTCACAGAAGTGTTCAAGCTTAGCACCCCAATCCTCGTCCTCTTTCCGCTGGAGGAGCTCGCGGAAGCCGTCCAGGAAGTGCGTGTTTGTATCGACTAGATCAGACATGGCAGAAATTCAATGATAGAAGCAAGCTTATGGTATTGTACGAGAGTTACTGAATTATTGTGACCTTCGACTCTCGATATAGAAGCCAGCCGGCGCGGTGTTGAGTATGATGTGGAGATGCAATATCCTAAGGGGGACATGCACAAGCCAAGCCAAGCCAAGCCAAACCGCGTAGGTAAACATGGAGATTAGCACTTTGACAAAGACCTGTCAACTGTCAAGTTTGACGTGGGTTCGTGGAGAGAGGCGTTGGTTAGTAGAGTGAAGGAAGATGACTGGGGAAGCATATCATCATTTGGGGGGTGGTGTGTAGTTCTCGATGGGGCGAGTTACTAATTCATACCTCAAAAGTATGAATCCTGTTAAGGAATCATTATGGTTTGACTCATATATGTGTGTGGTGTAAAAGATGTTCATTAATCTATGTGGTCTGCAGGCAGATATGTGCGGTGCCAAGCCTACGCTAGTGGCCCTATGAGTGTCCCTGAGGCATCTCATGACAATTGCCCACAAAAAACAGAGAATTGCCATGTCCTCATGGCAAGAAACATGCATGCATGTGTGCTTTTCGAAAAATCGGAAAGGAGTGGAGACACCGGGCTAATTAGTGGTGTGGATCTCACAAAATCTCCTGCCGTAGTGAAATCTTTCGAATAATGAAATTGCTGTCAGAGTAAGACATCGGACGGTTTCAATTCGTCCAAATATGCATCGGCCGAAGTCCCCCCTGAAGAGACCCAATTGGTCATAGTGATTTGGCTGTGACTGAGTAGGCCTGCGTTCTTGGTGCTGGGGGCCTTGCTGCCGCTTAGTTTCTCCGCCGTGTTCTCCGCCGTGTTCTCCGCAGTGTTCTCCCCAATTGCCTGTAGTGGATCCTCCTCTTGCTGAGTATCGGGCTGGTGTGAGATCGTGGAGAGTAGACCTGTTGTGTCACTGCTGCTGCTGACTGTCTCCGCAATATTCTCCGTACTGCATTGCTCCTCCTCTTGTTGAGTGGTTGGCTAAGTGACTTGCTGAGTGGCCGACTGAGTGACTTGCTAAGTGGCTGGCTAAAGCTGTTGGCTGAGTGGCTGGCTAAGTGGCTGGCTAAGTGGCTGGTAAGGCCTTAAGTCTAGCTGTTGGAACGACTCAACACTCGTTACCACTAGTACTTATTCGGCCTAGTTATTAATATATAAAGGCCTATCCTATATATAGATATCCTTCTTTCTTAGATATTATTAAAAATACTATAATTAGTAATAGATCTTATTATAGTAATAACTACGAGAAAGAAAAATTTATAATATTTTTTTTTAGGGAAAAATGAAAAAAAAAAAAAAAAAAAAAAAAAAAAAAAAAAAAAAAAAAAAAAAAAAAAAAAAAATATATATTAAGATATTATTAATATTAATTAATATACTTTAATACTAATATATAGATTAATAAGACTATACTCTTATAAGAATTTTATCTCGATATTATTATAATAGCTTTATACGATTCTATAATTACTTAATTAATTTTATTTACTTAATAATATAATCGAATAGAATTATAAATTCTATCTTTTATTTATTTTACAACTTCTATTTAATAGAGAAAATATTTAAAAAATATTAAATATTATTAAGCTTTATATTAGTTTAATATATAATATATAATAAAAATAATTCTTAATAGTTATAGTATATTCGAAGATAACGATTTATATTCTAATTTATCTACTCTATCTATTTATCGATTTTAGAGTAAAAGACTATTAATAGCTTAGCTATAATATCTAATTATTTATAAAAAGCTTTTTATATAATAATTATAAATTAAGAGCCTTAATCTAATATTATTAAAATTAATAAATTATATAGATGAAATACTTTTTTAAATAATAAATTAATTATCTTCTTAGTAATAATACTTTTATTAATATCGAAATAGATTACGTAGTAATATTTCTTAATAAATTAATTAATCGCTATTTAAATAGTATTATAATCGTCGAATATAGATAAGTCTATAACGAAGTCGATTAATATATCTTATTATCGTTTTTATAAGATTAATAGAGACTAGAGTAAGCTATATTCTCGATTACGAGATATCTTAATTTTTTAATAAATATAATAATTTTAAATATAGATAATTACGATAATCTTTATATCTTATTAATAATATTCTCTTTTAAATAGTTTATAGATATATACTATCTCGAAATAGTCGTAGAATAATTAATTATATATCTCTTAAATAATATCGATATATATATTATTAAATATTTAGAAATAATTTTTATAAAAAAGTATCTCGTTTTATACGAAGCACTTATTAAGAATAATCTCTTAAAACTTATTTTTATCTTCGATGATAACGTTATAAATTTTAATATAATAGTTATTCTTTTTATTAGTCTTTACTATTTTATAATAAATAAGATCGTTAATTATATATATATTAATATATTCGCTATTTAATTTTAATTAATTAGAAATAAAGATTATTTAATATTATTAATATAATTATTCGTTCTCGAAATTAGTTAATTTATACTTAGTTATTTATATAAGTATATTTATCTTAATATTTTAAGATTTAAATCGATAAATAATCTTTATATTAAATTCTAATAATATATTTAAATATCGAATTTAATATTAATTAAGATCTCTTCTCTTAGTAAAATATATTAGTTCTTTATAATTAATAAAAATTCTAATAGAGATATTTATATATTCTAATTTAAGACGCTAGTATTCTAGATAGCGAATAATTATTAATAGTTTCTTATTATAGATCTAGTATTTTCTAAGATAGTAAGATCTCTTTTATAAAACTACGTAGTAGCTATGTAATTATAAGGTCTAGATATCTAATTAATAGAATAAATAGATTAGTTACTAGATAAACTAATAACTAAAAAAAGAAGAAGAGAAAAGAAAATTTATAAGTATTTAAGACTTTATTAAGTATATTAAATACTCGTCTTAGCTACGTAGCTTATAATCTAATAAGCGATATAAATAAATCTATTAATTCGCTTCGAGTACTTCTATTTTTATAATTATATTTCTTCTTAGAAGATATAGTCTCTAAATCTTATTATTATTACGTCTTATAATTAAATATTATAAACTTATTAAGCTCGTATACGTTATCTATTACTAGCTTAAATATAATTTAAATTAATATATATTATAATAGCGTATTTAAATTACTTATCTCGAAATTTTCTTAAGTATATTATTATATTTATATATTAAATCGCGATAGTATCGCTATATATATTATTATTTTAATTAATAGAATATAAGCGTAATATTATCTTATTACGATATATTATTATTATTATTATTATACGCTATTATAATTATAATTATTTTAATAATTATAGTAATTCTATTATTATAATTATAAATCTCGCGTTAATAAATATAAAAGACTTACTTCTAGTTTAACTTTTATTCTTCTTAATAATAATATTAATATTAACGCTATTATAAGTAAGTATCTAATTCTTCTTTATATCTACTATTTTATCTTTATTTATTTTCATCGTAGTATCGCGATAATAAGCTACGTATTATTATAATAATATAATATATATATCGATTAAGATAATAGTTAAATAAGATTATAGTTATTTAAATTAACTTTATATATAATAAGTATCTTAAAGAATACTTTATAATACTTTATAAATAGTATAAGAAGTATATTAATATATTAATAATAGTACTAAATCTCCGCTCTTATAGCTCTACGGGCTACTAAGTATTTATAATTATTATTATTTTTACGCCCTTCGCTATAGTTAATAGATATTTATATTATTTTAAAGATATACTTAGCTAAGAGAGCTTAATAGCTTCTTTTATTATTATTTTTATTCTTATTTATAAGTAAAAGAGATATTAAATAACTAAGAGATTATATTAATATATACTAGTTCTCTTCTACTATCGTTATATATATACTCTTATATATAATTCTTATATAATTTATATCGCGTTTTCTATTAGCTCGCGCTAGTATAAATATAAGCGATATTTTTATAGAAGTTATATATATATCGTAAATCTAGCGCCTTCTTATTATTAAATTATTATTCTTACTATAGCTTACTTTAATAAAAATATTTATATTACTCTTTAAATATAAAGCGATATAAATTTTAATTAGTATATATTAGATTATATAGCTAATATATATAATAACTTATTACGTTAAGAAACTTTAGCGTAATATCGCTATCTTCGCTACTTCTTCTATTACTTCTCTCGCTATCTCTTATATTAAATCTTTTTATTATCTAATAAATCTTTTAAATAAAAAGTTATTTTTTAATATAAGAGAATAGATAGATTAATATTAAATAGTAATAATTATATATATAACTCTAATAGTTATTTTTCTTATTATATATAATATCTCGATATTTTAAAATCGATTTATAAGCTTTTTAATTATATTCGTTAGATCTTTTAATTAAAATTTTATTCGTCTATCTAAATCTTCTACTATTATTACTTTCTTAATCTTTCTTACTTTTTAATTTCTCTTAATAATTATATCTTTAATTTTATCTTAAATATTAATTTATATAATTTCTTTACTCGCTTAAAGTTCTTAATTATATCTTTAATATTTTCGAGATATTTTATTAATTTCTATAAAGCTTTATAAGATAAAGAGTTTTTTTAATTAATAAGATACTTAATCTCGTCTTTATAAACTCTTTTATCTAATATCTTATTAATCTTTTATTCTTCTTCTTTATTAATTAAGATTATTTATAATTTTAAATTATTATTACGCGAGTATTATAGCTTTAATAATAATATATAAAATATAAAATAGATTCTTTTATATCTAGTCGAGAGGTTTAGCTTATAAGTCTATATATCTATTTTCTCTAATACTTTAAAAGATCTAAGCTATTTATAATTTAATTTCTTCTTTAATTATAAGATATATATATTTAAACTCTATAATAATATTTTATTCTCTTTCTTAGAGATTATAGT